TACCTGCTGAGGTACCTGAGACCTCATCATGTGAGCCTCATCAAAATTAACATCTCTGCTAATGATTATCTTCTTGTCTTCTGGATCCCACAACTTGAAGCCTTTAACTTCATCTCTAAAACCCACAAAGACTGCTTTTCCTGCCATTGAATTTAATTTCTCATCATTCACATGATAGTAAGCTGGACACCCAAATATCCGAATTAAATCATAATCACTAGCCACTGTATCAGACCATACCTCTACAGGAGTCTTTCCATGTATCATAGTGCACGATAACCTATTCACAAGATGACTTGCATAAACCAACATCTCAGCCTAAAAGGATCTAGATAATCCACTCTGTGAAAGCATACAACGTACCTTCTCCAGCAAGGTGTGGTTCAATCTCTCGGTCATCCTGTTTTGTTGCGGTGTCTCCCTAACTGTGAAATGGCGCCTAGTGTCATGATCCGAGCAAAACTACAAAAATGGATCACTCTTGTACTCACCACTATTATCAGAACGGGGTACTTTCACCTTTCTACTATTGGCCTTCTTGTTTTGATGGTGATTTAACAAACAATTTACATCTAATGTTGTTTGTCTAGTGTTTGTGTTTTCGTATTTATTCTAGGCAAACAACGTGTTGGAGGATGGATGGAATAGAGCTTCAACGATCATATCCAATGGAGGTTAGCGGAATAGTGGAGTGAAGCCTTACAATTCAAAGTTAAAGATCAAGTTCAAGCTTCATCCGCGAGATTACCAAGTCAAGCATATTGAAGACCAATCAAGCTTGGGTAAATTAGTTTAGGGCTTATATTATGTGTGTTAATACTTCAAGCTCAATATCACACACACACGTTTGGTTTGGTTTATCGTCGTTTTGGATTATAGACTTAACGATATTATTTTATATCTTTTATCAAGTTTATAAATCTATTGGAAAGTTTTCAAAACTTTGTTTAAACTCATTTTGTCAAGATTAAGCTTTTACAAGTCCATACTTATGTGATTTTATAAAATAATGAGATTCCACAATTGAGAAATGCAAATTGGAAAATTCTTTTTTGTAACATGTTCAAAATCACATTTGCAAACATTTCCCAAAGTTTTATCAAGATTGAAATTGATTTGTTATGTTTAATTGAATTTACAAAATCATGTTTTTCATTCGTGCATGTTCGTGCATGTTTTTACAAAATAGATGAGTTTTTACAAATGGGAAGTGATATTTAATAAATTCTTTCTTTGAAATGTTTATATACATGTTTAGAAACTCCCCTCAAAATTTTACCATTTTTGGAGTTGATTTACTATGCCCAATTGATTTTACAAAATCGTGTATGTCAGCAGATTTTTAGAAACTGTATATCTGTGTTCAAATATTTATTTCTCTCAAATTAGAAATGATTTTTCCTAAATTCTTTCTCTAACATGTTCTTATATATGTCTAGAACCTTCTCTCAAAATTTCATAAGTTTTGGAGTTGATTTACTATTTTTAATTGATTTTACAAAACCAGATACGTAAATTTCCAGAATGCTGAATTTAGGGGTATTTTGGTCTTTTCAGCCTATAACGGCTAGTAACAGCTAGTTTTTGATATTTTCAGTTTTTGGGAGTTTGTGGCTGGTTTAAGAGGCTATAAAAAGCCTTCAACTTTCATTGTTTCTTATGGATGTTTAAGAGAGTTTTAAAAAGAGTTTTACAAGTTTGTTGAAGGGTTTTTAAGTTTGTTTCAAGAGTTTGTTTGTGAAGAAAATTCCACAAGAGCTTAAGGAGATCATCTATTGGAGTTTGAGCAATCAACTATTCTTCCTCCATCTCTTGTCATCTATTGAGAAGTTTTCTAAACTCTTTTCTAGCTTTATATTTATTTGTTTGATTATCATCTTATTAAAGCTAGTTTCATATTGAGTTTAGATTTGATTAATCTCATTGTTACTTGAGAGGGTGTAGAGTGTGATTGCATAGTGTTCGTTGTGTGAGAGTTTTCGGTGAACTTGTAAACCGAATGTGTAGAAGTTCCGACTTTCAAACCGGATTGTGATAGTGGATTTCTCCCCGGGAGTGGGGAGCGGAGACGTAGGACGGAAGGTCCGAACTCCGTGATCATATTGCTTGTTTGAGTGTGCTTTGGCGTTCATTCATATTTATGTTTATATCTTATATCGCCATCGTGCATTGCTCATTTCTATATCATCCACTATCTTGTTTATATTGTTTACCCTTGTGTTAGTTGACATATCCTTGCATATATCATATTGTATATCTCTTTGGTAGGATATATCATCTTGTATTAGTTTATATATTCTTGCACATACATTGCCTATATCTCATTATTAGGATATATCTTGTTGTTCATATTGCTTATCCTAGCTCATATATCTTTTTGTATTTTATACTTGTTAGGATAACTTGTTAATTAGTTTTAATTAGTATTTAAATTGGATTAGATTAGCATAACACCCTAATCACCCCCCTCTAGGTCTACCTGTTTGCAGCTCCACTTTTTTTTCCATTCCACAAAGACATCCATGACCTCATATTTCTGCGTCATGGTATATACCCAATTCCTCTTGGTATAATCATCAATGAAAGTGATAAAATAATTGGCCCCACCAAGATATGTGTTTTTGGAAGGACCCCAAATATCTGTATGAACGTAATCTAATATACCTTGGGTGTTATGAATAGCGGTGCAGAATTTCACTTTTGTCTTCTTCCTAAGTATGTAATATTCACACAACTCCATCTTGCAGGTATTTGCACCCTTCAATAGCCCCTGCTTTGCCAATGTCTACAGAGACTTATCACTAGTGTGTCTCAATCTCATGTGTCATAGACGAGTAGTATCCTCCTTTGTGGTAATAAAAGCTGTCAGACCCTCTGTTACTATCTTGCCCTTCAAGTAGTAAATATTATTTTCCCCGACACCTCTCATCACCACCGTGGATCCCTTGGTGACCTTCAAAGTTGCTTTCTCCATGACCACCTTATAACCTGATGCCTCGAAAGTTCCAAGTGAAATGATATTCTTTGTCAATTGAGGAACGAATCTTACTTCCTTCAACTTCCTAGTCACACTGTCACACATCCTGATTCGAACTGTTCCAATACCACTAATGGGACATACGTGATCATTTCCCATTAACACGACATCCCCTCTCTCCAACTCCTCAAAGCTAGAGAACCAATTCCTCCTAGGGTAAATGTGGTATGTATCACATGAATCCAACATCCACTCTGTAGAGTCTGCATAACAAACTGATGGTAATGCTGGGCATGAATAGCCTGAAGAATCTGAATCTGAATTGTCACCACTAACTTTGACAACATTCACCTCTGAAGTCTGAACGGCTTTCCCTTTGTTCTTCCCGGCTCTATCTTTCAACTTTATGCATTCATTTTTCCAATAACTATCCTCTTTGCAAAAAGCACATTGATTCCTACCCACACTTCTATGACCACCTCTTGGCTTTGATTTTGAGCAATTAAATGGACGGGGTTTGGGACTACGGCCTCTCACTGCCAATGCATCTCTTGATGCCTTCTCGGAGGGTTCGCCATCACTCTTCCTCAACTCATAATTCACCAATGCTGAGGTCACCTCCTTGTAATTAACAGTGGTTCTACCATTAATCATTGTAACTAACAATAGTCTAATGAAAACCTCCCTCTTTATTTTGAATTGGTAAAACCTCTTCTTTAAATGAAGTCGATTCTCAATGCTCTTCGTCAAATACTTGTCATTGAGTATTTCCCACAACCGTTTTGCCAATGTTTCATTCATGACATCATAAATCAAATCCGGCGTCAAACACAATCTAATAACCCCCCATATGCTCTACTATTTATTTTCTTCTAAACCTTATCCTCCATATCATCGGGTTTCTCTTGTAATTCAAGAGTCTCCTCCAAATTTTGAGCATCCAAGGTTTCTCTTGTAATTCAAGAGTCTCCTCCAAATTTTGAGCATCCAATGCATCCATCACTTGACACCTCCACAAACCAAAATTTATCTTGCCATCAAATTTTTGAACATCAATTTTTGTATTAGTAATGCTCAAACCTTGTATCGCCTTAGTTAGGGATGATCCGGATGTATTTGTTCTAGTCATATTGACAATCCAATCTTCAAACGAGAATCTGCACCAAATCCTCTTGTAGAAGCCCTAGTTTTATCCTCCAAATTGAACCCCAAGCCAACCCGGAGCTCTGATACCACTTGTTGTGCGTAGCGGAATCGAAGGATACGAACAAGATAGGAGAACAAATTAACAACCAAACACAAGCACCACACAAGTAAGACACCAAATTTACGTGGTTCGGCAATGTGCCTACGTCCACGGGGCAAGGAGGGAAAAATTTTACTAATAGAGAGAGAGTACAAATAGGGTTTACAATCACTGAATCACTCAATAATCTCACAAAATAACCCTCAAAGAAAACTCTCAAATCCCTCACAAATTCTCCTTTTTCAAGTGCTCAAACAATGCTCAAATCTCAGCTCTTAATCTCTCACATAACCCTAGAAAACGTCATGTTCCTATTTATATCAAATAGGAATCCAAAACAAGTCAGGAAAATGAATCTGGGCCCAAACCGCATCGCGATCGACCGGACACGATGTTTCAGTCGACCGGCCAAAAAGTCGAATTCCACCCTGTAACCCAGCACACCTTCGGTCAACCACAATGACATGGTCGGTCGACCTGCCAGACGCAGGAATCCAAACCCTGTAATCGTGCACCTTTTCGGTCGACCGGACATGTATGTTCGGTCGACCGGCCATACATGTCAGGTCGACCGGCCAGCGACAGGGTTTCTCACCCTGTAATTTCACAGTCTATCGGTCAACCGGCCTATGCAATTCGGTCTACCGACCCGTGACTAGTACTGTGCACTCCAAATTTCCTGATCTTATTCGCCGTTTCTACATATTCTTTTCCTATTGAATGAATTCCAATCTGCTCAGTGAAGAAATGGTATAGGGAACAGTTTCATTTCACGATTTTAGATACACTGGAAATTATACATGAAGAAAGATTAAAACACATCAACATACACCAGAAAAATCAAGATTATACAACACCCAAACCATGCCAACCGACGATATAGCCAATGGCACAGGACCAAAAACCCAAAGCAGCAACGAAATCGCAATGTAAAGCACGCGATTTCCCACAATTGCCAGCACTGAACCTCGATCAAACATCCTCTCAGCCTGAGCCATATAAACCAACTCCTCAGATGCAGTTATAAGAAAGCTAGCCTCAATGATGCACCCAACTGCTATCGAACTGCACAAGAAGCTAAAGAGCAGGAGGAGCGAAACTGAGGCGTATTTGAGGATAAGAAGATTTCCAGTTTGCAAACCGAAAACTGGGTTTTGGAGGAGATTGCTGTATTTGTATGTGTTGTTGGCCACTGCTGCTAAGCATGAGTTGAGTATGATTGCTATGGATGCTGATAGTATGGCTGACATTAGGAAGTTTCTTAAGCTTTGGACTCCCAGCATGGCCTTTTTGCTATCAGCCTGCAATTTTTCTTGTCAGAAAATGCATTAAAGGAGATGTGACAGGAAAAAGGAAAAAAATGACGACAATGTTTCGGTTTTACCACTACATGAAAAAAAAAATCTCCATTTCTAAGATTATTGAAAGTCAACCGTGATCAACAATAAGAGTGAGATTGCCCAATGATGACAACAATCTGATTTATTCCGAAAGAACAAAAGTTACGAATCTTCAACAGAAGAGCCAATATTCTAATAGAAATCATTAAGTACTCAGCGAAACTTGTAAAAAAAAATCACATTTTTATAAGAAACTGTAACATTTGTGGTTTTCTTATATAGCTCTCAGTGTCAAACTTTTCTTATATATATAAACTATGCTCAGTATCAAAAACGTTATTTCCTTACCAAATGAGTCTAAAATGGGAATTTTCTTCAGCTAATGTGACAAACTGAATCAGTTTTCTACAAATATGTTATCAATATGAAAAAGCTGCCATTTTACAACTATTTAGAAAAATCGGTATGACAAAAAATCTAGACTCTCAATGTATTAATCAGAACATTAAGCAAAATTTAAGAACAAGTATTTGAAGGAGCAATGAGTATGAATACTTGTATCTTACAGGGAGAATATCAGCAAGCCAAGCTCTTCTCTTCATCAGATTTAGCCCAGTACTCGTTACCGGCTTCTTCAACTTCGAGCATTGCCATGTATATGCATGGTATCCTACAGTGAGAAAAAGGCTAGCAGGAACCAGAATCAGATCCAGAGAATACTTGCTTGAATCCATGTCTCGATGAAGTATAACACAGAAAACTAAGCTGAGTTCTTGAGTGTCAATATTGAACTTATAGTGAATATTGTGGTGGAAAACAATAGGATAGTTCAGAAATTAGGTAAGGATTATTTAATATTTGAATAGTTTTGGATTTTTGGGGGGTTGTTGGAATCATCATCAGCAAAGTTCTCGATAGTGCAGGGAAAAGATCAGTTTAGGTAAGGAAGCTGACGGAATATGCAATAGGCAAAAGCTGGGTGTTGAATATAAATAAATTTGGCAAAGGCTAAAATTAATTATGGAAAAACTAGCTAAAAGAATCTGTATCATCTACAGATATACAAATAACTGTACATGTACTTGAATAACTTGTGCACCATGTAAAACACTTATATTGAAATCCGTGATGCTGAAAATTGAAATTCAAACAAGCTTTCAATGGATGAACTCTTGATGGAAGATGTAATTGGCTTGACTTGGTGCCAAACTTGCAAATGCCGTGTACAGATCGAATAGCCAAGTAGGTAGAATGATTGCTGATATAAGCAATAAGTAAAATTGTAGAAGAGTTTGATGACAAATATAGTGACTTCTTGTTTTATATTTTGGTGCATTATCTTTGTTGTATACTTCAATTTAAAAAAAAAATTGCCTATTCCATGAGAAAGGGAATTTTTATAGACTTTTAAAGGCTAAATACCCATATTGGTATTTTAATTCAACCCCATTTGCCAACAAGGTATTTTAATTAGGAAATTCGGCGATAAGACATTTTAATTGAATAAAATTACCATTTAGGTCCTTTTTCTCGTCGGCGGCCACTTTTCCGGCGAGAACTCATCACGTGCGTTGCACGTGGGGGCTTAATCTGTGTTTAAGATGCTGATGTGGCTCTCCTTTCTCTCTCTAAACCCTCTCCCCCATTAAACCCTGACCTCCTCAGCCTCATTGTCTTCAAGTCCTCTCTTTTAGACCCAACCTCAGCTCTCTCCTCATGGACCCAAGACTCCGACGACCCCTGCAACTGGGCCCACATCAAATGCCACCCTGAGTCTCGCCGAGTCGTCGAAATCTCTCTCTCCTCCCTCGGCCTCTCCGGCAAGCTCAGTCGCAGCCTCCTCAACCTCCAATCCCTTCAAAAACTCTCCCTTTCCGACAACAACTTCACTGGATTCTTGATTCCAGACTTAACCCAGCTCCCAAATCTCACCCACATTGATCTGAGCTCCAATGGGCTCATTGGAGAGATACCCACTAGGTTTTTCTCACAATGTGAGAGCTTGGTCGATGTCAATTTGGCTGGTAACAAGTTGTACGGCCAGGTACCAAGCAGCATTGGCTCTTGCTGGAATCTTGTAAGTTTCAATGTTTCGTCGAATCATCTCTCTGGGTCTCTGCCTGATGGGGTTTTGAGCTTGAGCAGTCTCGAAAGTTTCGACGTTTCTGAGCTTGATGGGCTCGTCGGGGCCGGACATCTCGACCCAGCGACCCAAATGAGCGACGATCACGTTCTGCTGGACGCGGAGGTAGGTGGAGAGCGCCTTGGGCGTGAAGTTGGTTTTTAGAGGGTTAATTCCCTGCCACGTCAGAAAACAGAGCCACATCAGCATCTTAAACACAGATTAAGCCCCCACGTGCAACGCACGTGATGAGTTCTCGCCGGAAAAGTGGCCGCCGACGAGAAAAAGGACCTAAATGGTAATTTTATTCAATTAAAATGTCTTATCGCCGAATTTCCTAATTAAAATACCTTGTTGGTAAATTGGGTTGAATTAAAATACCAATATGGGTATTTAGCCGACTTTTAAAGAACAAGACATCTTTGCGCTTTAGTGGCTTATTTACTGCCAACTAACAATGCATTAGTTTGCACTTCAAAGTGGAAAGTTTATCAGCTGACGGCTGTCTTGTTGATACGCTGAAGCGTGAACGACTCAAATGTATTTGAGTTTCCAATTTAATGTAAATAATCTTGAATTAACTTGGAAAAAATAAATTTGAGAAGTTTACCAAATGCAAAAAGTCCAGCCTCTCAAATGCAAACCGTCTTGAAACTTGATGAGATTCAGAACAAGCTCATATTTATGGGGATTTGCAAAATATTCGCAACTACATTCTAGTAACATTTCTAGTAGCTTTTATCTTAATTATAATAGCTGCCAACTCCATTTCACAGCACATAGAGTCATTTTAGTAATGGTTAATTATTGAGAGACCCCCTCCATCACGGAATTGTGGTTACACCTCATGTAATCATATTGGTGCAGATAGATCCATGTGCTACTTGCCCAAGTGCAGGTGGACCTCCTGAGTGATTTTTGGTTACTCTTTAAAAAGAGTTTAAAAAAACACTCAAACACTAGTACAAAGGACACCTGCCCCAACGGTTATATCTGTTGGTGCAAAAAAAAAGGTCCGTTGGTGCAACAAGCGTTAGAACTAAAACGGCCCCAGCGGGTGAAAATTTTGCACCAACAGATATAATTGTTGGCACAAGTAATTAAAGACTTAATTAAATATTAAAAAGATAATTTAAATTATAAAATAATGGCACCAACAGTTTGAACCGTTGGTGCAAGATTTTGCACTAACGGTTTCAACCGTTAGTGCAAGATTCTGCAGCAACGGCACGTTGGTGTAGTTTTAAGCACCAACGGTTGCAACCGTTGGTACAGCGTCTTGCACTAATGGATCAAACTGTTGATGCTATTTTGTGCATCAAAAGTGCCAAAACTTGCACCAACGGTCCTAACCGTTGGTGATATTTTTTTTAGTCTTTGCTGATTCCTCCTACCATGCTTACATACAATTCATTTCCCACAAAAATACATAATAAACATATTCACAACATCTATATTCCCACACATAAAACCAAAAAAAAATTTACTAGAATCAGAATATGACAACATCATCATCTTCTTCTTCGGCATTTATGGGAGTTAGAATTTCTTCGTGATATACCCAAGTTGTATAACCTTTAATAAAACCAGGCTTAAAATGTGAAATTCTACATCTTCCTCCTTACGATGCAGACTATTCCAGCAATGGCTGCACGGACAAATAATCATGCCATGTTGGATCCTATCATGTTCACGTACAAAATTCATACAAGAAGCAACTCCTTCAATGAACTCAGGCTTTGTGCGTTTTTCACGATTCACATACATCCAACCCTTAACCCTGATATAGTCAGGGGCCATGATAACCTAACAAAGACAGAGTTAGTGATAACAGCCCCTAAATTAAGCACGCTTGCATTAATTTTCAAAAAAAAAATATAAAAACTATATAGTTTGGTATAAATAAATTTTATTTAACTTGTTTAAATTTAATCACAATTACATAAATGTGAAACATGCCTAGTGCATCAAATATTCATTATGTGTATGAAATTTTCACAAGGCTTCTATGATGAATTTGTTGTCTATGAAGGTTAGTCTCATGCATTCAAGAAAATAAGTCGTCAATGTGTCATAAGAAAGTTGAAAAATCAAATTCGAAAAGACCAAGGAATGAAAAATTCATGTGAGCATCAAAATTTTTAGTGTTATTATGAATGCACAAAAGCTTATAGAGAATTTTGATCAATTAAAATCTCATTGTTTGCATGAATGGGGCTGGTGGCTTGCTAGCTCCCAACCACTCAATCAACCCCATCTGTGTCCTAAACTCTAGAAGTTGACAGCTCTCAGCCTAACTCCTAATCTTAATTAAACTAGTACAAGACAGAAAAATACCAAACTTACAAGAGAGAAAGATATCAATTGTATGTATGTATAACCTAAATAAAACAAAGTTAGCGATAACCCCTAAAAGCATGCTTGCATATATAATTTATAAATAAGATTGTTCAACAAATAAGAACACTAGTCTGGAATAAAAGGTTTATGTACATATTTCTCTTGCAAGAATTTTATCAAGTATTAGGCTTAATTTCTCATAATACTAATTAGGCATTTGATTTAGCATCAAAGGTATCTAAACATAATATTATCCTACAATCCTAATTGAATTAAAGTTTATATATTTTTTAATTGGAACACTACCAACTGATTTTGATTAGACTTTACAATAATTAGGCGCAAATAGTAGTAGTATTTAGAACCATACCACACAAATTTTAAATGTTAGTCTTAATACAAAAATTTAAAGCCCTAGCTATCACATTCTTTCAGAAGCTGCTGATTATAGAGAAAAAAAATGCACATATCAAACTACATGAGAATAGAGTTTTGTATTTTTTTTTCCAATAAGATAATAACACAGTAAGTTTTATCTTCACATTCTGAAACTACATCTTTAACTCTTATCATCTTCGTCTACATGATATATACCCAAGGTTTTGTGCTTGCAAACAAATTACACTAGTACAAAATGAGGCATCCTAGACGGAAAATTATGTCTAGGATACTCAAAATTCCGTCCAAAAAACCTATCCCAGACAGAATTCCATCTAGGATGTGAGTCGAGTATATTTCCGTCTAGGATGTGGTATCCTAGACGGAATTTTCGTCTAGGATACATCCTAGACGGATAATCCTAGACAAAAATAAAATCCGTCTAGGAAGATATCCTAGACGGAAATTTCCGTCTAGGATAGCTTCCTAGACGGTTTTTATTTCCATCTACAATTTCCATCTAGGAAGCTTCCTAGACGGAGATTCCGTCTAGGATACTTCCAAGGCAAATTTTCATCTAGAAAGTATCCTAGACGGAATTTCCATCCAGAATATGTGCTACAGTTTTTTTTTTTTTTGCAGAAGCTACATCGCACGACATATAATATCACATGTACACAATACAGCACAACATCAAATCATATTCATATCTAATTATATTCAATACAATATAATTATATTCTAATATCAAATTCAATTATATTCAAATAATACATTCACCTAAAATACTAGAACAATACATAAATTGTTAACATAGATAATGACTAATTTTCTATTTATATGTTTATTTACAATTGGAACCACAAGAATCGAGAACTTTTAATGCTTCTAAGGTTGTTT